AGTTTGAACTTTAGTCCTAGAACCAAATTTGGGACTGCAGTCTTATGATTATAAGAGAATCAGTTTGGTCCAGTCCTAGTAGTCCAGGATTTAGGACCGGATGGACTGGACTGTTTAACATCCCTGTCAAAAATGTGCTACGTAACACATTTTTGGAATGATTTTGTCTCAGGTTAACGGCTATTACTATATAGTTGAGCAATTACGTGGCGCTTCCTGTATATAAAGGCCAAGCCTATCTCCTGAAGGACATCATGGAATACACTCCCGTGCGAGCGAAAAAGAATATGTTTCCTTTCCAGCATGAAACGAAACGTCTGTGTATCTTCCACTCGAAGATGTCATTCATTTTGATATGGTAGCTTGGAAAAATGCTAATTATAATCGTATTGTATGGGCTCTTAAGACTGTAGCGTTAGTATTTTTGATAACCACCAAATATAAATCCGTACTCATATGACGCAAGCCTTCCTGCAGTTTAATGACTTTTGAAATTATTAAAAAGGGTCCATGTTATTTAAAGTAACACTATGACAATAAAAATTATGAGCAAACCACGAAGAAGTTTATAAGACTCTTTAAATTTTAGTTATGCAAATGCGAGTGTTTTTTATTATTATAAAAGCTATATACATTTATGGGTGGAATGGCAATACCGCAATATGACACTACAAGCTGTGATATTATTCTCTCAAAATATTATACTGTATGTTTATTAATATGTAGTCTTTACAGCTAGAACAAAAAAATTGATCTAGACCAAATGTAAAAACTACTTACTGGAATGCTTGGTAAATAGCAGAGTTTAAAGAAAAAAATTTTGTTTATGATAACCAAAGCTTTCAGTGATAGATAATTTCAGAGCACCAATCATTTATAAAAAGACGGGGTTTTATTTAAATAATAATTTAATACTAATACTAAAATGCCTGTCGAATTAACACAAACTATCAGTGGTTTGTCATATATATATATACTATGTAAATTATCAATGTTTTTGTAACGTTGTACCGTAGAGCACTGAATATAGTACCCCGGGTATATATCTAGAACATCTCAAGTTTATCATATTAAAGTTTATCAGAACTTTATTTCTACTTCTTGGCTAACGCGATGGCGCCTCGTGGAAACAAGTGTGTGAAAAGAGCTACTATAACTGAGAAAAAGCGCCAACGTTGGAATGCTTTAGAAAAACTTGCAATTATTTTATATCAGGAGAAGGTATGCAGTGTACGTTCCGTAGAATGGTTTTGTTGTAGTTCGATCTCTCTTTCGATCACTAGAATTTGGTTGATTAAAATCGAAGCTGTTGATATCTCGTTGAGATTGTATGCGTTTATTACTATTACCTTTATTAAGTTATAGTACATCGATGAGTGGCTTTATACTGAGGTACATATCATAAAATTTCTACTACCATAATCATGCGACATATGATATTTGTACCCGGGTACATTTCAAAAACTTTCGTTGAATTGTACCCGGGTCTTAATTTAGGGGGTACTATTCGAGGGGGGTACTATATTCAGTGCTCTACGGTACATTTTTTTAGAAAAAAGATAGTGACATATTCGGTCTCTCGTTTAGTGTTTCAAGACCGCAGTTCGATAAGTGGCTGCTGCTGGCTTTTTGTAAGATTCACTCATGCTTCCCTTTTCCTTGTTCCCAGATTTTCCCCACTGTGTTAAATGAGCGAGTTAATATCCATTACTGCTAGGGTAGCCCGTGATATTATGCAAAACTCTCCAGTCCAAGACAAAACGCGGGAGGATCGGAGTAAACAAGACACTGAGAACAAAAGATATTACTATTACTATACTCGCGCGCAAACCCGAAGAAGCCAAAAAACAAACGGCTGCGGACTATACGAACTATAAACCGCGTTCATCGTTGGTTAACAATAACTAAAATTTTACTTTTTTTCTTTTCGAAAATTTAGCGTTAGCTTTACAATATTACAAAAATTATTGCAACTTATATACAACATAGAAAGAGGTTTTTCATATGTCCTAATACAGTCGACCTCCCATACAGTCACATTTGCTTACAGTCACACATTTGTTCAGTCCCGAATTTTTTCATAGTAAATTTCCTCCCA